CAGACGGTGTAAGTGACCTCCCCCCCGAGCCCCCAGCAGCTGTATGGACAAGAAGTACCAAGAGGCAGCTTATGCTGAGCATAAATGGGTTTGGTTATTGGGGGGGGGTATAATAGGTGGGTGAGCTCTGCACTGCTGGGTCTCCCTGCAGTGGGGGTTGCTGTGTGTGGTTAATATCACATCACTACAAAAACTTAATCAGTAAAAGGGCTCCAGGAGACCTGGAGAGGGGCTTTGGACAAGGCCTGTAGGGACAGGCCAAGGGGAATGGCTTTAACCTGCCAGAGGGGAGATTGAGATGAGCTCTGGGGCAGAAGCTCTTCCCTGTGAGGGTGCTGAGGCACTGGCACAGGGTGCCCAGCGGAGCTGTGGCTGCCCCACCCGGCCAGGTTGGACACAGGGGCTTGGAGCAACCTGCTCTAGTGGAAGGTGTCCCATGGCAGGGAGTTGGAACTGGATGAGCTTTAAAGTTCCTTCATCCCAAACCAGGCTGGGATTCTATGAAATACATACTGGCCTCAGGCATGTGGCAGGAACTGGTATCCATCAGTGTGCAGCAGAACAGTTCATGCCTGGGTGAAGGCAGAAGGGAAGGAATCTGCTTCTGCTATAACGCTGATTCTCATCTCTCGCAGTGCCCAGAGACTGAAGTTCAGGCTGAACCTCTACGAGCTGAAGGAGGGCAGGCAGATCAAACCTCAGACTTTTATGAGCATGGTTTCCAATCTGCTCTATGAGAGACGGTAAGTGTCAAACAACAGTCGCTGCTTACGTGTCAGTGAAGGTGGCTGGAGCTGATGCGATTCTCGAGAGGCAGGAGGCTGAGGAGGGTACAGCAAAAGGAGACTTCAAGCTAGTGACAATATCATCTTCAATTTCCTTGCAAAACAACGTTGTTAATCCTGTAGCAGTGCCAGTTTGTCCTGTTGGCTGTGCTAAAGCCTGGCTGCGGTGCTTCTAGGTTGACCTGGAAGTTCCCCTCACCAAAAGCATCTGTGGGATGTTTTCCTTGCCTGGATATTCACATGGGATGCGGAGCTGGAGCTGCATCAAGGTGGTTTCACTGCTCTCTTTGTCCTGCACAGGTTTGGGCCGTACTACACAGAACCAGTTATTGCAGGGCTGGACCCTGTGACACACGAACCCTTCATCTGCTCCCTGGACCTCATCGGCTGCCCCATGATCACCGATGACTTCGTGGTCAGTGGGACCTGCTCCGAGCAGATGTATGGCATGTGTGAGTCCCTCTGGGAGCCCGACATGGTGAGTGGGGCTCCTCGTCCTGGGTTCTGTTAACTGGAGAACTGGGGATCCATGGGTTGCATGAAAAGCTCTGTCCATTGGTGCTTCCCAAGGAGCACGGGAGAACAAAGAGGCTGTAGCTTATAACTGCAGGAAAAATCTTACAGCATCTTAGATGGTACTTTGGGGGTTGAACAAAATCTGATGCCTCAACATTGTTGGATGGGGCTTGGAGCAACCTGCTCTAGTGGAAGGTGTCCCTGCCTGTGGCAGGGGTTGGAGCTGGGTGAGCTTTAAGGTCCCTTCAACCCAAACCAGGCTGTGATTCCATTTTTACACTGACTAAAAGAGCTTCTGTTCCTCAGGAGCCCGACCACCTCTTCGAAACAATCTCTCAGGCCATGCTGAACGCAGTGGACAGAGATGCCATTTCTGGAATGGGAGTGGTGGTGCACATCATGTAAGTGCTGCTCTCCTCCCCTGCAGAACAGAGGTAGAATTCAACAAGCTGTGTGTTAAAGGAATTTGGCTCCCTATTCCCTAAAGGAATAGGGTATCCCTGTCCTGCTCCTTCCAGCAGTTATCTTCTAACGACATTCTGGCCATTCCAAGTGGTTTATTTCTCAGCTGCTCTCTGCTGCAGCTCGTGGCTGCAGGAGCCACATGGGAAATTAATCCTGGAGTTAGACACAGGGATTCCCTGGCTACATTCCTGTTGGGATTTAGGAGTTCAGCTCGTCACAGACAGGTAGCACTGCCCAAAGGGGTGCTCTTTGCCACAGCCAGATGCAGTGTTACCTCCCTGAGTCTGCAACCAGACTTCTGAAGCAGTTTATTTTGCTGATGGAAATTCCCTGGGGGCAAAGCAGCAGGAGGATGAGCTTTACTTGGCTGGAACAGCCAACTTCAAGCCCAGGTGATCCTGCTTGTGCCAGCAAACCAGCTACCTGTGCACACTGCAGAGGGGACAGTCTGCGTGTAGGTATTAAATGTGGATTTACTAATAAGTGTTCTCTCTTTTCCCCTCTAGTGAAAAAGACAAGATCACCACCAGGACCCTGAAAGCTCGCATGGACTAACCCAGCACCTCTCCTGTGGTTCACAGCCCAACCTGCTTGGAACTTTTTTTAAATAAAACCCTCTATCACAGCGAGTTTTCCTGTTCTTGAGTCTCAGCACTAGGATTAAGTTCTCTAAAGCTGTCGGGAGGAGCTTGGTTTTACACAGCAGCAGAGCTTTCCTTTGTCTGAGCCACCCAGCATCTCCCTCAGTGCCCCCCGGAGTCAACCCCATCTCCTTGAGACAGCACAGCAGCGTTGGCTTTTCCTATCAAATTCATTTGTTCTCCTATCCAGGGCTTGGTTAAAGCAGTTATTACTTAACCCCCCCATTTTACAGGCACGTATCAAATGACTTTTCCAGTTCACGTAGGACTGAAAGCGACCACGTACCTCGTGGAGAGACGGTGACACCACGTGAAAGAGGAGAGCAGGAAGGAGCAGATGTACACAAAGTTTTAAGTTTATTTTTCTCTGGTTGGAGACTCATCTTGTAACATGCATGCATTTCAAAACAGTAACAGTGTCTCAAACTGCTCCTAGCAAACAGACAAGCACAGAGGACTTCAAATTCCTATTTAAAAAACAGCAGTGAAAAAACCTAGAATGCTTTTGTTTGTTGTTGTTTTCTTGACTTTTCGATTAAACTTCATTTATTCACATTTTTGCAGTGGCACTGATCAGCCCTGCCCACCCTCACAACCTGTGTGTAACACGCTGTGGTGCAGCTGAACAAAGACCAGTGCAACGTCTGAGGAGGGAAAAACCCAAACCACTAAACCCGATGGATGCCCAGCGGCTGGTTCTGAGCTTTGCCAGCACTGTTACACATGATACTCACACCAAAGAGCAAGGAAAATCAGTAGTGGCTAATCTGGATACTGGAGAATGGCTCTGCAGGAGTAGGGAAGCCGACAGGCATTAGGGCACGCGGGGAGAGGAGAGGTGTTTTGTTTTGGAGCTCTCGGAACCACGATCCGTCTCAGATCGGTTCCTCAGCATCACAAACCAAGTTGAGGACACACACACTGACTTCAGAAATGTTTGGACCACCTCAAGGTTCAACGCTTTGAGCTCTGCAGCTGGGAGGGAGGTGGCTGTAAAGACTGTAGTAAGTCACTGGGCTGGGGCAGGACACAACCCCTACACCAAACACAGCCCATAGCTACAACACAACCCCGCTCCGTGCCTTTCCTGGGCTAAGAGGCTACTGAAGGTGGTGCTGCCGAGGGGAGAGCACGAGGTTCCTCCCAGAGAAGGAAATAAAGACTCAATGTTTTAGTGTTCCTCCTGATTAGGATCATCGGATTCAAAACTAGGATTCTTGGATGTGGGAGTACAGCCTTATTTCCCCAGGGATATGGAGACACCCACAACCCAGCAAGTTCTGCCTGTGATGAACTGCATGGTCAATCAGAGGCATGTACCAGAGCAGAGGAAGGAGCCCTTGCTGGGAGAAGAGAACTCCTGCTGCCATTCCCCTTCCAATACAGCAAACCCAGGCCCTCTTCCTGGTGCTGGCACCAAAGCTGACCCACAGGGTGGGTGCTGCTTGGTACCTCCAGAACATGGGACCCTATCACAGGGTGACCCAACACGTCCTCGAGTGGGTTTTATTGCACTATTGGAGCAGAACAGCACCCAACCTGTGACTCCACGCTCTGCCTTCCCTCTCCCACTCTCTCAAACAGGGAAGATGTCAAGTTCAAGGTTAAAACCAGCTTTTAGGTCTAATAATTTGACAGATCCACGTTGAGAGCGAGCCCCTCAGTACAGGCAGGACTGGGGACCTGGCAGCTTCCCACACAAGCTCCCCTTGCCTTCAGGCATGGAGACACACATTAAGTTTTGGGGGGTTTTCTTTTTGAACCTCCGGTTGCCCAAAGAATTGCACAATGATTTCTGGAAGCATCCTTCCCTCTGAGCAGGCTCTGAGGGATCTGCTACCTACTGCGACTCTTTCAGCCAGGGGTGGTTTTCAGTCAAATGCACTTCAGTGTAAAGTGTTCCGCAGGGTACATGCTACAGACAGAAATATCTACATTCAGCAACCTAGAACTAAATTCACACCAGAAACAGACAACAAACTAGCACAAGCAGTTGGTAAAACCAAGAACTGAAAGGGCTGGGTTTTCTTTTTAAATACTTCGAGTTAAAAAAGTGACCTAAACCAAGATTCAAAACGAAACAAAACAAACCAAAAGAACAAAAGAAAGAAGAAAAAAAAAGTCCCTTTTAAAAACAAATCAAATATTTGCAGCTTCACTTCTTATTCTGGTAAGAAAAATACTGTCTAGAACCAAAAATGAGCATTTTTTAAACGTAATGCTACCTCTCAAAATGTAAACAATATACAAAATGCTTCTGTTAAACAAAGTTCCATACCTGGGTAATACATCATGAAGTGAGGAAATTGCATGTCGTTACCTTAATACACAAATATGGCAACTTGACAGAAGTGGCAGAACTGGGGAAGTGCTAAAGTGAATCGAGTTCATGGGGCTTTTCGTGTCACTCGAGCCAGCAACAGCCAATTTGATCCTCCAAGGAGGTGGGATGGAGTGGAATAAGAAAACACAATTAACTGCTCTTAAGCCCTTAGTATCAGACTTCCAGAAAGATTGCTGCAGGAACTAACTGCATTTTCATTTCAGCCCTGTTGATGAAGGAGACTCTTGCTCCAAGCTATGCAAGCTTCATTTGCTGACTTTCTTTGGGTTGTTTGCTTTGTAGGATGTCTGCAGTTCACTAATTCCCTTCTCTCTTCCTCCCCCCCCCACTTCTCTCTTCTTTTTTCTTTCTGAACGCATGATTTCAACCCTTTCAAAGGTCCCAGCTAGTTTCCCCCAAGGAGAATATAAACTTACCAGGCCAAAGTTGCAGATTCAATGCAGATTTTTATAACTGTCAAGAATAAAAAGTGATTGGTATTTAATTTTTGATAGTAAACTTAAGTGCTTATTGTTCAAGAGAAAAGCAACCAATATAATGCCCACAAAACTAAGCTGATGATACCCTCCAAGTCCTCCCTTTTACAAAGTATTCTCATAGCTGCATTTGTTTTGTGGCTTTTCCAGCTACACACCTTAAGACATGAGACTCTCCGGCCTCCCAGACAATGGTGTGTTAACCCCACATCACACAGAACAGGGACCGGACTCCAGTGAAGAAGAGATTTGTCCCGTCTCAAAGGGAATGACCCATGAATGAAGAAAAAGATTCATATCCCATTATGACCCCTAATATGAATTCTTGTTTTCTTAAAGACTCTATTTACAGTGCACTCTTGTGGGCTGAGACTTCAGCCCCCTTTTGTCCCCTTCAAAGTTGAGACCTGTGGGATTCACATCACAAATGTGGGTGTGAACATGTAAGAGAACCCCAAGCCCACATTCAGAATCCAGACCAGAGCTAGGTTAGTCTAGGGAAATTACCAGGATGTGATGAGCACCAGTTATCTCTCAAAAGGACCAAATTCCACACAGCAAACTGTAGCACGTGTTACAGCACAGGACAGACATTCGAAACAGCTTATTCCCGAAACAAAGGCATATGTGAAAACAGTTTCAAGGCAGAGAAGCAACATGTTTCAACTGCAAGAGGTTTGTTCAAAACACTAAATCCTGCTTCAAAAGAAAAAGAAAATTAAAAAAGGAACCAAGAGATCTGTAAGTGTTGTGCAGCAGAGCTAACGAAACCCAAAGCAAGTCTGACAAGCTTGGCTGTGAAAAATAGTACAAGCATTCTGGAGACAAAACAGGACGTTATTCAGTCACTCAAATCAGTTCCAATTCCTTAAGGGGAAAAGGGGGGGAATAATCTGGCGCAAGTGTTCAAACATTTCCACTCCTTGACTGTCGCTCTAGAGAGGGGTATGGAGCAGAGAAGAGTAAAACCAACCACAGCTCAAGTCCTGAGTCCTCTGGAGCTGTGAGACTCGCTCCAGAGCCACAGCTCCCAGCACTCCCCACCGGTAGCGAGTCCAATCCCTTCGTGTGCAAGTCACATTGCCATGTGAAAAATAAACCACCTAACCAAAGAACCTCTGTCAGGAAACAAATTCAAGTACCTGTTGCAGATCGGGCTAGTAAGGAAGACTGAACATTAGCTAGATTAACACTGGCAGAACTGTGATGTTAAGCTGTCACCTAAGAGACACGGTAATTCCTGACTGAGGTGTGACAGGGAAACACTCCGGATAGTCAAATATATCCCACATCTACAGGTACAAAATGCCTTTTTTTCTTTTTCCTTTTATGAAATCTTCATAGCTGGCCAATTTAAAGCACAATGGGTCCGAGCACATTATCATCTGAGGTCGTTCGATGCCTCTACTACATCTCATACCTGTTTCTTTACGTTCTCGGAGTTACACCTTTTTAAGTGAGCATCTTTGGTAGATGTTCATTTCCCTCATCTTTCTTGGAAATCAAGTGCAGTTACAAAAGTTTTTCTTACTTAAATTAACCCAAAAACATAAAGTGTCCCAGTCTGAATTTACCTAAAGTTCAGCGACTCCTCCTTATCAGAGTAATATTTTCCGTCCTTGAAATGGTGAGCTAGTTTCCTTCCAAATTCCTACCAAGAGGGAAATAAAAGGGTTTGTGTGTCTTTCTGGTAAAGACAGTCCAATAATAAAAAACCCCCAAATAGTAGTTTGTGGAATCAGGCACTGCTTCACTCCCACTGAACATGATCTAGAGCGACCCCTTCTAGACAGTGCCACGTATCGGATCCCTCTGGGATTCTCTTGATCAGAGAGGAGAAAACGTCGTTAGAAAGAGCAGTGCTGAAACAATGCACTTTTCTTGTTTTAAAAAGCCCTCAAATCTGTGTCTGGGCACTTCTGTAACATAAAAACCCACTTTTCCACCTGGGTCAAGTGGACTGTTGGAGGGTGCACCTAGAATTAGTTTTCTCTTAAGTCACACAGTGCCACACTCTCGCTCTTGCACACTCACACGCGCACACACACGCACACCCCACATGCTGCTACAGTGTCTGTTTTAGTGTCACAGGCTGCATTCTCTGTTTGGAAGTAGCCCCCTCTTCCTCTTCATGTCTCGCTGAAGGCTGAAGACGACTATGTCAGGATATTGGAGATAAATTCATTGAAGCGTTTAGAGTACTGCTCTGGATTCACGGTGGAGATCTCTGCCCCAGCCTGCAAGGCAGAGAGGAGACAGAAGTCACTACACCCTCCTCCAAGGGCAGCTCCTGCAGCACTGCCAAGGGTAGAGGAGGGAGGACAGCAGGGAGGGATCATGTCAGCACAGCCTGGGACAGACCCGTAACAAACTGCAAGTTCTAGGGGGGAAAAATACCACCAAGAGGTCTAGAGGCAACCCCAAGGAACTGATTTTAGGTCCAGCTGGATCTTCTGCAGACCACAGAGTCAAAGCACTGGATTTGTTCTCTCATGGTTTACAGGGGATTTGGAAAGAGCATGAAAAACTCCATGTCCTGCTAAGCCAGGCTCTTTCCAAGCCCTTATGAGAAGCTTGGGATTGCTACCGGGGAGCAGGACAGGGAGCATGCCTCCCTGCAGCCACTCTAGTCTGCTCTGAGGCAGTTTGGTACCACACCAGGGAAACCAAACACCTCCCAGACTGGGAAAGCCTTTGCAAGACAGTCAGAGAAGATGCTAAATGAAGGAAGAGCTGTTCTTGGGCATGGAATCACTGGAGAACTTCCATACTGGTACAAAAATCAGAGTCAGAAGGCATCACCCATGCACACGCAGGCAAAGCAGAAGCCCCAGAGCCCACTCTCCCTGCAGTGGGTGGCTGCTTACCCCATGTTTCACTGTTTTGGCAGCATGTGCAGCTTTCTTCTTCGCATCATATGGCGTAAGAATGTCTATAATGGCCATGAAGTACACTTCCTTCCTGGGGGCACCTAGCAAGGCAAGAGAGTCGCTAGCACACCCTGAGCTGTGAGCAAAGCCCCCCTCCTCAAGAAATACACGGCTGGTTTGCTGCATCTAGCAGAGAAAGCAAGGAGCTGGAGGCTGTAAAGGGGCAGAGAAGGACTGGAAACAGCACACCAGAGGCCCGCGTGCTCTCTGAACATGCCACTACTCTCCAAGCGTCACTTGTACCCATTCCAGCTCGCACCCTCCACAACCAGGCACTGCACAGCAAAGGGGAGACCTGGGGCAGAATCCCTTGCTCTGTGCACACAGTCCCTCCATTCCATTCAGCCCAGCCAGACCACAGGACACCTCCGCTGCCCTCCAGAGCTTCCTGCCATCCCAGAATACTCACTTTCGTGGCTTTTCATGGCGTAGACGTCGACAGAGGGATCGAACTCCCCAGGCCCAAAGAAACGAGGGTAGTTGAGGAGGTTGCCAGGGCTGTCGGGGGGGGTGCCATAGGAGGAGATGGGGTTGCCTCCCAGCCCATCGTTCTCACACTCCTCATCCTCTGCCCGATCCTCCACTTCCATCTCTTCCTGCTCTGCTCGGTCAACATCGTGGATCCCAACCAGCAAGCTGTAGTCCATAATCTTCAGCTGAGCTAAAAACTGGGAGAAGGAGATGAGTGAGAACAGCAGCATCCACATGGGATCAGAAATTACCAGTCCTGCCCTGCCAGTATCTCCCTAAGGGTGAGCTGTAGCGAGAGCTAAATCCTTATTAGACTCCAGAGAATCTACACATATGCCCACTGGCATCAGCATATCCTTGACTGTATTTGCTTGACTGATCCAGGAATGTCACCCTTTGCAGCTACTACTGAGGCCACAGTGAGGACCCAGTTACAGGAGACAGTACAAGCCATCCCTCAGGAAACTCTACCTCCACATCCCGCTTCAGCTTCTCAAGGAAGTTCTTTTTACTCTCTTCTCCAACATGCAGCTTCTGGCCCTCATTCAAGAAGTCGTTGTCCTTGAACGTTGGTAGATCCTTGGCCTGCAACAAAAAACCTGTGTCAGATTCTCCCTGCTTCCCGGGGGAGGGCTGGTACATGGATCCATCAGCAACATGCTGAGTGCAAAGAGACTCTGATTGAGTGTGGGGTTGCACCAGGGTCTTTTGGCTGTTTATAAGGCAAAGTGGCTCATCCTGTCCACTAAGTATGAACATTATGCATTAGGCAGAGCACAACACTGGTCAGTGAATCCATGTGCTGAGCTGGACCTAAGGGGAAACTGAAGGGAGACACAGAGAACGACCCAACTTTAAAGACTGCTGCAGGCTGAAAGCTCCAAAGCTGGGCTCCAGCCAGAGGTGGCCCAACCAGCTGCCAGAACAGAGAAGAAATCCATTTTGTTGGCTTCTGGCTGGGGAAAGGGGTGAAGGCTTGGGAAAAACACGCTGCTTTTGCAGACTTGAGGAAAAACTTAAACCCACTGCTCTGGGAGGCAAGTGCTTGCAGCAGGCCCAGAGGACCTCTCAGGGCTACAAAGAACATCCAACCTCTTTCTGCAACTGGGAATTCAATGATTTTGTTCTTAGAATGACATATGAGCGTCTGGTGGCTTCATATAGATCTAGTATGAATGGTCTGAGACAAAGTGCAGAAGCAGCAAAGGCTGGAGAGTAAAGAGCCAGCAAGCTGGGATGCTTGTGCATGATGTGCCTTGACACCAGAGCTTTCAGTGTAAATGGGAGCTCCTTGGCTCACACCAGAGACCTAATTTTAGGCCAGGCTGGAGCAGACTTACTCTGCAGTCCCAAACCTGAAAATCCCATGTGCAAAACATGTAGTTCCATGAGTTACTACTGTGATTTCAATGGGACTTTTCACAGCAGCATCACAGCCAAAGTTTTGCAGGGGCAGATTCTTAGTCACGAGTTCCCCTGATGGCACCAGAAACCAAGCTTAACAACACACTGTGATATGCCAAGAACCTGAGAGGAGCTGCTCTGGTTTGTAAAAGCATCTGTTGTAAAAGCTAACTGCTGACCTGACTCAGTTTGCTACTCAGGGAGTGCTAGGAAGAAATCCTTCCATAAAGACACCATTGTACTAATGTGGGGTTTGGTACTTGGGGGATTGTCCCCCAACAAGCTCCCCCCACTCCTGGCAGTGTCGACATAACAGAGCAGGGCAAGGCAGCATCACATCTGCACCATCTCTTCCTGAGCAGTTACTGGGCACAGTCTCAAGGGTGGGACAGGACCAGGTTATCACTCAAGGCCCATTTAATATCCCATGCTCAATATCCCTTTGGAAAAGGGAAGTCAGTTGGATCCCTCTGCTTCCAACCACCTGGAGGAAGGAAAGGCTGGCCAGGGATGATCCATACCTTCTCTTTATCGCTTGCTTCCCTGGATACTGTTGAGCCCTGATAAAAGAATAAAGAAAAGAGCATTGCTGCACTGTCTGTCATATTCCCAAAGAATTCCTCAACACCATTTAATTCCTCCATGCAGGGAAATAACAGAAGTAGTTTTAACATCAGTTCTCAGCCCCTTTTTCATGCCCAGGGTAGACTCATGGGTCTCCCTGGTGTAGCGAAGGCCACTTGTGGTGGGGGAATGGAACAGCTATTGAGCTTCAGGTGAAGCTCCATCCACAGCCCCCAAAACCCGATCCCCTGAACAAAACCCAAAGCCCAGGACCTTGTCAAATGGGTGTCACAAAGCCCGATTCCCACCCGTCTGGAAAAGGAGCTCAGCTCCACGACTGCCCTCCAAACCCTCACCTTCAGGTCGTATTTCCTGTGCACAGTCAGCCTGTGACTAAACACGTTTCTGGTCACCACCATGTAGGTTTCCACTCCATCCACGGTGAGCCGGTACATGCCGAGGAACTGGGGCAGGAGGGTGTTCCCATGACACTCCACTATGAACTGGAGGAGAGTGGGGAAGGGAAGGGCAGAGGAAGACAGCACTGTCACACAAATCCCATCTCTGGCAGCTCAGCGAGGTGCTGATAGTGAAGCCTCCAGCTCCAGCCATCTGACACTGATAGCAAAGGAAAGAGGCTTGCAAATGGCTCTGAGGGTCTCAAGAAGAGCAAGTTAGGGCATTGTAAGAACCTTCCAGCCCTGAGCTGAGACAGAGCATCCCACTGTGTGTGCATGTCTGCTGTGGCAGGTGAGGTCTGCATGACCCTTGCTCAGCCTCAGCAGGGCAAGTCTGTGGCTGGCACTGGCTAAACTTCACCTCTTGTGGTTGTGCAAGTGTATCTGAAAGTGAAGAGAAGGTCCACTGGCAGATAATGTGGGCAAGGGTAGAACATTTCCAGCTGCTCCAGTTTGCCTTCCCTTCCCTGCTGCATGTAACTGTCTCCTCCCTGGTTCCTCTGGAAAGGATGGTATTAGGAGCATGTTTACAGATCTCAGGTACCAGTGATCCATTGAAGCAAGGAACAGGGTGAGCTGGGAGGGGGCTCAGCCCTGTGAAGAAGCAGGCAGCTGTGCCATAACCGGCTCTCCAATGCTAAGGAACACTGTTTTCTCCTGCAAAAGCTCTTTGCAAGCTCTGCCAGGCTGCGCGCTGCAGATCCAAGCTCCAGTTCCCCACCACACGATGCTCCCCAGGGTGTTTGCCACCTCCCCACCAGGCTTCCAGACTCACCGTACCTGATGGTACTTCTTTAAGATGTTGTGCATCTCTGCTACATCCTCGCTCGACACTGCCTTGATGACAAACCTCCTGTCGTAGGTGGTGAGGAACCGGGCCCCGCACCGGCCCTGGCTGTCACTGTTCACCGGCGCGCTGCGTGTCACCGAGTTCTGAGGGAACCAGAACAGGACAAAGTGGGGAGGAGAAGCAGAAGCTGCCACCTCCCTGGAGAAGAAACAAGAGCAGATGAGACGTGGGTGACCAGGGCCAGCTCCACAACCTGTCTCTGGAACAACAGACTTGGTGGTCCACCTCTGTAAGTGCGACAGTGGCCTGGCCAAGCTTCAGAGAACACGTCAATCGTGACCACTGGAAGCATCCTTGAGTGTTCAGAAGTACCCAGGTTAACCCAGCTACTGATTTACCTGGTTTACTCCACCACCTGGCATGATGAGGTTTTTATACACAGGCCAAGACTCCTTTGCATGTCCTCCTGGAAGCTTAAGAACAGCCAGGATATTCCTAAAGGCTTAAAGAAAACCAGACCAGAATGAAGGAAATGGCCTGACTTCTTTTCCCTCAAGCAGCCTAAACTGGCAAACCCCTCATTATTTGGGAATTCTTTACAGGTCCCCCCGAAACCAAAAGCCACCCTCAACTTCTGCTCTTCTTACAATTGGATGAAAAAGACTGGGAGTATAAATAGCTTGGTTGTGCTTCCGACAACCAGCAGCATCTGTCTTTAGATCCCTGTCTCCACCCTTAGCAACGAACCATTGCAGCTTCTTTCCCTACTTGCAGCGCAATTGGAAAATCCCAGGCAAAACTGCAGAGCATCCCTAACATTCCCTGAGCCCCAACATGTTCTGAAGCCCTCTCCCCAGGTAAGGGGGCTTGCCGTGAGCCTCATCCCACTGTCGGAGCCACTGCTCTTCACACCTTCCAGACTAAGTCAAACAGGTCCCCAGTCTCCTGCTTGTTTCCTGTGTCACTCCTCAGTAGCTGCCTTCCAACCCCACCAGCCCAGTCACCAGGACTGGTTTAGAAGTCATTTTGTCAGCCAAAAGTGGTGGCTCTCACTGGGATTTCCCTGCCACTGGTGCAGGTAGATGGGGAGAGTTGAGTTGTGCCCTGAAACAGTGATACTGGGTAGTGGTCTTCAGTGTCTTTCAGGATCTCAGGGCTGGGCAATGCATTTCATGATGTACATTTCAGCTGCTGGTTACACTGTTCTCTCCTCCCCTCAGCTTTCTGAGGAGCAGGCAGCAGAGGGAGCCTGCTCTTCTGCAGACACAGGCAAGCAGAGCCTGCTGTGAAAGAGGGATTTACCATGTCACGCTGCAAGTGAGCCCAGAGGTTTCCTTTCAGAATGAAGCATTTAAAACTTTAAAGCATTTAAAGCTTTTAAAACTTTAATGAAGCAGGGGAAAATCTCCACTCCTGCCAATGGCTTTAGAAACCATCAGGAAAAGAAAGGCAAACAAAAAAAAAACCCCCTTTGCTTCTTACTGACATTTGCAAATGAGTCCGTGCTACACAATTTAATCACCCCTCACCTCAAAACCACAGAGCTTTTCTTCTAGAGGAGATGGGAAGCAGAAATCATGACCACATATGGACATGACCAAATTTACAGTCCTTGGGTTTACTTCGTTCCCTTCCTGTCACTCCCACCTCTTCCCCAGTTGGGGTGTTATATTTAGCATTCTGGCTCGATTCCCACTGAAGCCATCACATTTTACCCACCTGCATTTAGCTCAATAACTGTTTTCTGCTTTCTGTTCTAGCTGGTGCCTTCTAAAGAGCCAAAGGTGGGAGAAGTAATCCTTCAAAACAACAGCTAAAGTGGCAATGAGAAACCAGGTAGTGAGAACCAACAACCACCCCAAGGGCAGGGTGCTGCTGGCCAAGCAGCCCCCTCAAGAGCCGGTGTCAACAGCCCAGAAGGTGCTGGTGCTGCTTCTCTCTGGCACCATTTGGTGCCCAGAGACCAGGCCTGAGGTGAGGAGGGAATAAATGGAACTAATAATCTCAGAGGCATGGGCTCAAGAAAAGCATGGGCTGAGCAGCTGTGTCCTGGACATAGAAGAGCTCTTCCATCACAAGCAGGAGAGATCTGTGTGTGCACAGCTTGCAGGTAAGGACGGGCACCAAGAACCCGGGCTCAGCTCTGTCCCTGTCAGCACACGTGCACTCACCCAGCCCAGAGCTGCAGCAGGCAGCATTTACCATCCCTCCCGGGGCTGGCTGGCCCCTTGCACAGGAAAAGCAAAGACGACTGTCAGTTCTGCTTGGAAAACATGTCTCAGTTGGAGCAAACAGCCTCCGAGTGGCCAGCATGCCTGAGAACAGGCAGCAGAGTGGGATGAGGCCTGGCAGGCAGGAAAGAGGCAGCTGAGGCAGCTACACAAAGCAGCAAAAAGCCCCAACATTGAGCCTGGTATCCTCAGAGGTCACTCCTTCTCACAGAGACTGCTGTGGTCTGGAACAGGAGGCAGAGGATGGGATGCAGGTGCTACACAGCTGCTCCTTGCCCCACACCACAGGAGACTGGATTGAGTAGATGCAGGATCTTCCCAATGCAGCAAACCATGGCCTGAGAAAACAGATCTCTCCATGATACTAACCTTGAAACAGAGTGAGATCAGGCATAATCGAGATGTAATCTGGGAGAATTTTGACATGTGTGGGGAGGGTGTATATGGACATGAATGTGGATGTGAGGGTGCACATACTCCCAGAAGGAAGCAGCGTGGAGGGGT